AAACAAACAAACAAATTTATTCCTAATTTTCCAGAATTAGTATCATACCACCTAGAGAATTTTAAGAAGATATATGTTTTTAGTACTGTTACAGTAACTAACTCTGAGCTACAAATGGACTGCAGATCTAAGCAAACAAGAATGTAAATATGCCCTTCATCATTTCTGAATCTTTCCCAGTTTGTCAAAATCAGCTTTTATTGGTAGTCCCAAACTAAACCTTCTATATTAAATCTTGAGAATCTTGATTAAACTGTTTCATAGCTTTTAAACTTACAGAAAATGCTTGTTCATACAGCATAGACCTGGTCAAAGACAGCACTACTTACATCGTAATCAAGTATCCAGTCTCACATTTGTTCATATTGTTCTAACTGAAAAAAATATCATTTCATTTATATCATTTCATTGAGATGAACTTCCATTTTTAGTTTTATTTTGCAATGTGTTCAGTGACATCATAATTTCTTTCACCTGAACACCAATTTCCACTTCATGATAGCTAATATGAGCATTCCTCTGTTCTCTGTTTCAACACAGTGAGAATAACAACATGCCTTCAAGTCAACTGTGACTTATGGCAACCCTATCCAGGGTTATCTAGATATAGAGCATTTCTGAAATAAATAGAGCTACTAATTGTAATTGTACTAATTGTAGGGACGTGGTGGCGCTGCGGTAGGGACGTGGTGGTGCTGCGGGCTAAACCGCAGAAGCCGGTGCTGCAGATCCAGAAGACCTGCAGTCGTAAGATCGAATCCACGCAACAGAATGAGCTCCCGTCGCTTCTTCCAGCTCCCGCCAACCTAGCTGTTCGAAAGCATGCAAATGCAAGTAGATAAATAGGGACCACTTCGGTGGGAAGGTAACAGCGTTCTGTGTCTAAGTCGCCCTGGCCATGTGACCACGGAAGATTGTCTTCGGACAAAATGCTGGCTCTATGGCTTGGAAATGGGGATGAGCACCACCCCCTAGAGTTGAACACGATTGGACAAAAATTGTCAAGGGGAACCTTTACCTTTACCTTACTAATTGTACCAAATCCTTGGCTTCAAAATATTTGACCAAGCCAGTAGATAGAAACTCTGCTATCTAGCACATCATACCATATCGCCATAACAGCCAGCACTTGTTCATATATTTTTTTGGTCAGGTAACTTCAATTATACATTTTGCAATTGATTTAAAACAAATGTAAAATGCTTTTTTGAGAAAACATGTGAAGAATAAAATACCTTTCTAGTTCAGCAATTTTCTTATCTTTGTCATTTTTTTCATTTTCTACTTCCTTCAGGATTTCTAGAAGCCTATCAACTTCAGCTTGAGCTTTGCCACATTCTTCTCTGTAATAGCCCGCCTCTTTGTCAAGCTGCTTCAGTCTGTCAGCAAATTCAGGGTTCATTCTTGCTTCCTCCTCAGCTTCATGAGCCTGTTGAATTTTTTTAAAAAAATTACCAACATTTCAGATAGCCTGGAAACACTGGGTCAGAGTCCCAGACACCATATGATGAAAGGATTTATGGGTATCCTGTTAGTTGGCAATGTTTTCTCACCGTTTAACTGCACATTATGGTATAGGGTCGCTTTCTAAAGAACATCTGGGAGAAAAACCATAATTCTCTGCTTCAAAAACAATGTTTTGATGTTTATTTTGAACAATAAATTCCTTGCTATTGTATAGAAAGGCAATACTTTAAAACATAATGAAAGCTATCATATAATAAGGTTTAGTTTAAGAGCCATATTGTATAATTTATGAACAGTTTGATGAAAATTATTTATTCTACGTAAGATGAGAACACATTCAACAGACAGTTTTACCCAAATCCTTTTTCCCCCTGCTTCATACTGCAAAAATTTAACCTGAAACGTAAGAAGAAACAAGCCCTTTGGTGGAACAGCACACATAAATATACCTGGCAAACACATGCATGGGTGGGTGGTCAGATCACAAACAAGAAAGAATGTGATGATCACAACAAAAAACAACAGTGCAAAAAGCCCAGTCCTGCTCCCATTAATGCTAATGGTAAAGCCCCATTAATGTCAATGAGAGCATGAATAGGCCAAAGTGTTTAAAACGTTAGACTGAAATAATCACGCACAGATGTAAACAAGAATGCACTGCAATGCTTAGCCTACCCCTTGTTTCCCATTATTCCTAATTGGCATCTTCAAAGAGCAGGCAGGGAGAAAACAGGTAGTTTAACTGCAGTGCACATTAAACACATATAATTCAGAGAAGACTTTTTCCAATGTACACAAATACATTTTAAAGGATTAAGGACAATTAGAACAACTGCATGTCCTCCTGTTATCTAACAATAAAGAACAGATGCTGGCTTTGCTTATTTTTTATTTATAGATACATATACATACATTTTTCTTATTTCAGGAAATAAACAAGCAAGTAATGAAATATCTTTAGCATAAAGATGAAGCATGCATGCTTAGATAAACTAACATCTACTTCCAGAAAGTTGACATTCTTTGCAATGGTTTGCTCCTTTTTGTTTTTAACAGTGCTTGAGATTAATTAGTAAAATATTTGTATGATGAATAAATGTGTAAAGCATCAGGTTATTTGAAAACTAATGACTAGATTTCTTTTTCTGCATGTAACATATCATTTAAGCATGAGGATAATCAAGAAAAACAGCTTAGTTTGAGTTGATTTCTTATTCTCAACTAAATGTTTTAGGCTATTTCAAATGTAATGAATTTCCTACATGGGGTTATAAGAAAATGCATGTAAATCACATGAACAACATTCATCCACAGTGAAATAGGCCAGTGTGAGATCAGTCACACTTGACAATGTGCACTAGTTTTGCAGAGATTTTTACACAAGGACGTTTTAAACACATATGAAATTCACCATATTTGAAAAAGCCCTTCATTTAAAGACATGAAAAGAGCATTTTCTATATAAATAAAATAGAATATATACCATATCTAGAAAGCACAGTCTCTCAAGTGTTTCTATGGGATTTTGAACTGTATTAGAACTGCTAATTGATGGAACTGTGCCCATAATATTCAACTGAGCTTTGTTTAGAATAAACAGGAGCTGTTCTGCTGAATATGAATGATGCACTTGAGCCTGCTCCAAACAGTCCACTGTGCTTCTGAATATTTGTTGCAGCTTAGAAACAAAGGAAGATGAGAAGCTGAATTATATTGCCTGACATCCTATTGCTTAGTGCAGTAAGTTGTGACTAGATGCAGTGAATCAATGGGGATTTGGTGAGCCAGCTGCTCAATTAGTTCCACTGATTCAATGGCCTTAATCTAGTTGCAACGAATCACAGTAAGCAACAAAATTCCAGTCATTGCATTAGAACATCATCACCTCTAAACCATCATAGTCAACAATGAGTGGCAGGATTTCAGGTAGGAAGTTTTTCAGCCCCACCTAGAGATGTTGTCTAATCTGCTGTTGATTCAAGAGACGCCTAAAAGAGCACTCTATGATTCAATAAGGGCTGCAAGGGGCATGAGGGACAGAGATGTGAAAAGAATATTAGAACTCTTAATGGGCTGCAAGTCTGCACAGAAACCTTCTTATTCCATTCAAAACCTGCAGTCCAGACCCAAGTTTGCCTGCAGTTGTTAATGCATACAGGCTTCTGTGCTATCTGTAATGGAAAAGAAAGGTACTTTCTATCCTCCTTCTCACAGCCAGCAAACAAAGGAATTCACACTACAAACATAATCAGCTCTAATAAGTTAAATAGCAACAAAAAAAGGTGAGAATTTTATCAACACCAGAAACTTCATTAACTAACAACATTAATATACTGTAAAAACAATATCATTGGGGCATTTAAATGCAAAGAAGGTTCTAGAGGTCCTATATTTGCTAGGCCTTGCTCCTACAATACCTTAATCCTGTAGTCTAGTTGTTACACATTAGAAGAGTCAGTCAAGAGCGTATATAAACTATATCCCCCAACTTCCCTTAAAGAATTCTGAAAATTGACACATGGTGAATGGGCTGAAGAAATTGTTTCAGGAAAGGTAAAGCAGTAATATCGCACATACGATAACTGGGACACTGCGGATTCAAGAGGATTAATTACCCTATTTGCCTGATTAATATTTTCTTCAGTAAGAGGTATATGACTGTGAGAGAACAATGAAGAACAGATGATGAGTGGCAACGTTTTTATGTGAAATGAAGTGAACAAAACTGAATGATCAAAAGAATGGATTGATACATTTTATACTGAAGTTTTAATTTAGGTTTTCTACATAGTTTTCATAGGGAAAGCCTATCTCAGATGATTTTCCTTATGTATGCACAAGTACGATAGTGGGTATATGCCAACGGAGACAGAGAGCAGGTTTTACATACATGCGTAAGTGGCAGAGTTTTAGTTCACATTGACACTAAAGTTTCATTAGTAGACATGCAAAGAAGAAAAACAGGGTCAAAATATGGTCTGAGACAACCCAAAGCTTATCTTTTTCAGATGCTTTGTTCCTGTTTGTTGCACCTTTTGAAGCTACATCAGCATCACCATAGTTAATATTAAAACAAATATTTTCTTTTTGTTCTCACGCGATCATCTTACTCTGAGTTTATATAGCCAGAGTGATTATGTCATGTCACTATGAAATGAATCAGATTTGTCAGTATAAAGGGCATCATAAATCCAGAGTAAAGGTTTATATTGTAGTATATCACATTCCATAACTAAAGAAAGAGGCATTACACATGGAATGCACTAGATTCCCTTTGCAACACAGAATCCCCCTGAAACCACCTGAGTACTGGCAGCATTCCAGTTTCAGAATGAAGCAAGAGTATCTATAACAACCTTGCCAGCAGTTGTTGTTACAGGTTCTATGGGGCAGGAAAACAGTAACTTCTGAAGGGCTGCTGAGACCTTCACCAACCCAGTGAAAAGCAGCCTTCCTTGACAAGCCTGGATAAAGAAACCAACATCTGATAGAAATATATGACAGACCTGAGCAAAACAGAGGGTGGGGTGGGAGGCTACATGGTCAACACTTTTCACTTGTTACATGTGTGGCAATTTTTATTGGATCAGTCTGAAATTTGGAGCATCTGTAGAATCAATCAAGCAAATTACAGACATTAAGTGTCAAAACATTTTTTTAAACAAACAAACAAATAATAGAATTCTTTGGATTATCAGAGTGGAACTGTTTTTGAGAGCGGGTGACTTCTCTTAACATAAAGAGCACTCATGTGCTTTTTCAATTGCTTAAAACACAATTCAGTCAAGTGCACTGTTCCTTTAAGTTATGCAAAGAACATAACTTTTTAAATTTTCTTCATCCACATAAACCTTCGAAAGTTTTCCACCTAGTTCTCACTCTCTCCCCCCGCCCCATCATTTTTCCAGAGTCACTTCAGCCTTGCAGTGCTGCACAGTCCAAGGACTACTGGACTTCGCACAGCTTCAGCTGCCTGTGCTGGCTTTACTGGGACAAAGGAGGTGCTCAGTGATGCCAAAGAGTGACTGGGGCTTAGTATGGCCAGGATAAGTTTATGGAAAGAGATTCATACATTATTTTTAAGCCACCACTATTATACCTCATGTTATTTTTTTTTAAATCTCCAGATATTTACAGAAAGATGAATGAAACAATGGCTCAAATTCTGTTTGCTGTTTAAACATATACAACGAACCACTGCAAACAAAAAAAATATGCATTTTTGTTTTAGTTCTACAAGGGAGTATTCATTGCCGCAGTAAAGCTCATTGCTTGTAATAGGACAATCTCTGGCTCATGTTAACTGCAAGCCAGGGATTGCTGGAGTGGTTCTGTCCATGGAGCAGTTACACTATGGATTGTTCACAGAATTCTGGCCAATATTGTTTTAGAAGATAGTGTTACAAATAATGTTTATATAAATGTAGGATTTGTCCAATAAACGCAAGGTTAAAATCCAGTGGTGTATTTCTGGATTCCACTGTTTCCACTACAATTGGTAACTCTCCTCCTTGTGGCAGCACCTGTGAACCCTAAAAACCTATTTTGCAGGGCTGGGAAATCATCCAGAGCAGGGGGTTTGTTTGTTTTGATTTGACACCACATATGTCAACTGAAGGGGAAGGGGAATGGAAAGGAAGTCTCAGTTCCACTAATATTGCATAACAAGTACATCACTGAAATTTGGACCAGGCTTTAAATCTAATGAATAGTCACAAATAATTATATCTTCTAATAGTTAAAAGAAGATTTTATGTGTCATTGATGAATGCTGTTCTTGAATTTTAGAATATTCCAGATATAAGAAATCATACTGGAAAATGCCTTACCAGGATAGTACACCAGATAAAAAGTAAATCCCAAAACCTTACTACTAAATATTTCCAAGGGCTTTATGTCTGACAATATGCATATACAGTAATGATAATGTTTACTCTTTTCAAGATAATAGAAAGTCTACTGCTTGCCTACTTTGTCAATTAACTTGCTTCTCTTCATATGATTCCATAGACAGAAGGAGAAAAAACCCTTGCCAAGCTCTCAGTGAACCACCCTTAGAAATCTTTGCATTTTTTAATGTTTTCTGTTTCATATAAATGTCCCATAAATATCAATATTTGTCTGTTCTGCTGAAAATAAAGAAAGTGAAAGTATCTATTTATTAGCATGCTATGGGCACTTTTTCCCCCACACTAGTACGTATACATAAGAACAATACACCTAGGCTTAAAAGAGACAAAAAATCAATTTAATGACAAATAAAATGACACAGTAGAAAGGTACATGCAAGAAAAATACTTTAGTTAGATCCTTCAAATTGTATTGATCAACAATATGAAATTTGGTATTTTTTTTAGAACTCAGTTGAAGTTATTAATCAATATCTAGGATTCATTGGAGGGAGTAATTTAAAACTGACCTATGGATTTTTGCAGTGTGCAACTTTGAAGAAATGCATAGCCTGTTGTCATAACAGGCTTAATTTTTCCTTAATTTCTACTGCTTAACTGCTTAATTTCTATAGCATACTTCAAAAAAACAAAAAACAAAACAGAAGTGGTTTAAAACTGAATCAGTTTCTGGAAGGTGAGAATGACCCTGGACAAATATTAGAACCCTAACACATGCTCTGCAGGTTCCAAATGTTGTAATTCACAAATTGAAACTGAAGCCAAATCAGTCCTACACTACGAGACATTACAGGG